CGGACCCGAATCATAGCGACCCCTCCTTGGGTTTCCGAGGCAGTATCACTACGGAAGTAGATTGCCCCATCTTCCTTCCGAGGAGTGGCTGGTGGATTTGAAGGTAGAGCAGCTAGTGGTTTCTAACCACTGACCTTTCAAAGGTTAGCAGCAGAATGTCTTAGCCACTCCACCACTAAAGCTGCTTAAATTGTTTTGGAGAGCAGTAACATTTTCTCTTGTTAAGAAAGTTTTTTTTTTTTTCCTTTGAAAATATTACATATCTTATGTCAAGCAAATATGGAATACCAACTTAGAGTGCATAAATATTTTTCATCTCCTGGAGTATAGTTCTGAATTATAAATGGTATTCTTCACAAATTCATCTTACATTATACTTATGTTTGTGTGTGTGTGTATGCTTATGGGTTTATCATCATGGAGAAATAATATTTTGATACTGATAATTTTTTTGATACTGTAATTATGTCCAGTAATTACAGATTTTTATAGGATTTGATATTTTGAGTGTGTTTGGTGAATATGGTAACACTGTTTTTGTGATGTGCCATCCCTTATTTTCTTACAGAACAGACAAGTGAGTCTGAGATGTCAGTGATCCCTGGCATTTGGATAAGATTATTTGAGTGTATGTTTGGCATGACGATTGATGTCTGTGGCTTTGTGTTATTCTAGCTCTAAATCAGTTTGGAGCCAAAGCATTGGAGTATGTCTTTTATGAGGCCATTTCTGTACGTAAAGGAAAAATATGCCAGGGGCTAAGTTATGATGGAAACTTACTGAGTCACTATTATATTTTTCTCTAACCAGTGTAAGCCTAAATATGCTAATCCACACTGTCAGTTCATGTTAAACAGTCCCAGCTGATGAAACAGATTGTTGGTGCATAGACTATATATACAAACAGCAAAAGAAATACTATCAGAATATAAAATAATAGCTGTAGTGGAACATATAAGCATAATGTAATTGTGTTTTCATACTGTTTTAGGTTTTGCTTTCTTTCACATATCTCAACATCATTTTCCCCCATTTAAAAAAATTATCATATGTGAACAACAGACTAATACTGACACTTTATAATACATCTGAGATATTTATATTTCATCAAATCCAGGACATGATAACTAGGCTCTAAACTTGGGTTAAATAGTATTATGTATATAGATTTAATTTTGTTTGGGACCAAATTCAGGTGAGAGGCTGTAATGCTATCTATCCAATACAGATTACAGGAAGAGATAGGAATAAAAGCCTTAACATAAAAAGATTATCTAGAGTTCCAGCAAGATGGTGGACTAGGCAGAAAGACTACACAGACCCTCTTCAACAAAGAAAAGGGAAACCAATTAACACAGACATAGAAGATAATCCTCGACCCCTGAGCCTTGAAGGGAAGGATGTAGAAGTGGACTAAATCCCAACTAGCAGAAGAATTTGTGTGAAAATACAAAAAAAAGGAGACATACGGAGCTGCGGTCTGGCAGCGATCTTGAGTGATCCTGATGGCACAGACAGCTTGGAGATTCCCGAGTGCTGGTAGGACTTAAGAATTAACCTAAAAATCAGCCCTGCTAGCTAAGGATTGCACAGAGGACTGCTCCAGTGGCTGGGGAATAAACAGAGAAGGTGAAGAGAAAGGCGGGCTGAGTTGTGGACTTTTGCCGGTCTGGAGGCGGCCACCATTTTGAAGGTCTAAAAGCAGCTTGATTATTTTTGATATTTAAAAAGAGAGTGCTCTCCCAGATTTCTGGGGCTTAAGAACACGTTCTGCTTTCCAGCAACCCCAAGGACCCTCTGGACCTGCAAGACTGAAAAGGTACGACATTCCTCTTGTTACTCTATACCCCACACCCACTTGGTGAACGGAGGTGCGGCCATTCCCCACTCCCATCTACGTTCTGGGACCACAGGAACTCCATCACAGTCTGTGTGCTCAGACGGAGCCTGGGTGCCCTGCCCTGCCCTCCATCAGTTTTTTTTTTCTCTCTCTCTTTTTTTATTTTGATTTTTTTTCTTGTTTGGTTTCTTTTTTCTGGTGATTAGTTTGCTTGTATTTGTTT